AATGTGATTTCTTAGTTTTCTTTTTTGAATAAATTTGCAAAAATTTGTAATCTCTTGTCCATCCTTGTCAGTCTCCAGGAGAATCTTAAGAGTTGCTCAAATGCACATCAGGGAGAAAATTTTCTGCAATACCATGTCACATTTTGGGGCACACTATTCAAAATTAAACTTTCACACTAAAAAAACCCAAAATAAAGCAAATTCATATCTTTATGTATAGCCATTCAAGGTTTCCCTTCCTGAGTGGGTATTTTGTTTTCTGAATAAAGTGACACTGTACACTTTGCATTTTATCTGTAGTATAACTAGTGAGCAAAAGATCAGTTAAAGGAATTGTAGAGGAATTTTACCATTTTCTTTAAATGGTATCACTGTGGTCCCGTGATTTAGTTTCTCAGTTCTGACTTCTCAATTGTTGTTTGTTTGTTTTGTTTTTTTCAGGAATTGCCTCTGACGGTCTGAAAGGACGTGTCTTTGAAGTGAGCCTCGCTGATCTGCAGAACGATGAGGTAGCCTTCCGCAAGTTCAATCTCATCACCGAGGATGTTCAGGGCAAGAACTGCCTCACCAACTTTCATGGCATGGACCTGACTCGTGACAAGATGTGCTCAATGGTCAAGAAGTGGCAGGTAATGTTCCTGTTGTTATAAATGGTATATTTTTCTGACAACTCATCTGAAGCAGCTTTGTTGTTTTAGGGACAAACACTTAGTTCAAGTACATAATAATTCATCAAACGGGTTCAATATTTCATTTTAGCACTGTTGAACTTTTACACCGCGTTCTAATTTTTTGAGATGCATCTGTATATGAAAGCACATGTGCCGTTCAGATGCAGTGGAGTTCATTAGAAGCAAATGTGAACTTAAAACCTTGTCCCAGTTCTGTTATCTCAATTAGTTTAATGCAGCAGAACTAAGAATTCTTCTGTTTTCCAGATGCTGTCATACAGCTGTTCTTTTTGTAGAGATCTGTAAACGCAGCAGAACAGAGGTTGTTTTTGAAACCTGAAGTAACCTCATAAAGGAAGGTGGGCCTGTGATCTGAAGGTCGCTGGTTCATGTGGGTGGAAAAGGTGAAACACCTGCCTCCTCCCTCGTTTGTCCCACTCTGGGCCCTTGAGCAAGGCCTTTAACCCCCACCATTTGCTCCCTTGGGCACCCTAGATGACAGCCTCTGCTCCACACAGAGAGCTGTGGTAGCTCAGTGGTCGTCAGGAAGAACATCCAGCGTAAAAACAGTTACCAAGGCTTACTGCGACTTAGTTTGCTGTGACGACCCCTGAAGAAGGGAGCAGCCGAAAGAAGACGATGAATTGGGAGTTGTTGGTGAAGGGTTTCAACAAGTAACATTAAGATTTATGAAGGACTGCGTTGTTTTGTTTGTTTTTTATCACTCATACTATTTTCTTTGCCAGATATGAAATGTGTAGCAATTCAAATAAAAATGAAAGTTTCGTGTTACTGTCTCTCTAAGGTGTGAAAATAAAATTTTACATCCAAAATGCTTTTTTTTTATTTATTTTTTTTTTATCAATCCTCCCCTCATCTCGTTGTTTAGACCATGATTGAAGCCCATGTGGACGTTAAGACAACCGATGGATACCTTCTTCGTCTTTTCTGCGTGGGGTTCACAAAGAAGCGCACCAACCAGATCAGAAAGACCTCCTACGCCCAGCACCAACAGGTCCGTCAGATCCGCAAGAAGATGATGGAAATCATGACCCGTGAGGTCCAGACTAACGACCTGAAGGAAGTTGTCAACAAACTGTAAGTGTATTTCTGTTCTTGATGAGACTTTTCTCAACAGATGACTTAAGAACTTCAGCTCAGTGTTTAGCTGCTTACTCTGCTTGTTGTTTTCAGGATCCCTGACAGCGTTGGTAAAGACATTGAGAAGGCCTGCCAGTCCATCTACCCTCTGCATGACGTCTATGTTCGCAAGGTCAAGATGCTGAAGAAGCCCAAGTTTGATTGTAAGTAAGACACGCCTGTTGCTCTGCGTGAAGTTAGTTTGGGGACGTGCAATGATGAACTGCTTCAGTCCCAAATAATAGTGTTTGGATCAGCTGATCCCTCATTTTTATTTATTTTAATTTGGGTGGGTTATAACAAGTACCGGTAAACACTATTTGTACATGATGCCCAGTGTCAGTTTCATTATTAGTTTTAAGTCCCTGTTCTTTGTTTCAGTGGGCAAACTGATGGAGCTCCATGGTGAGGGTGGTACCAGCACCGCTGCAAAGGCATCTGGTGATGATACTGGAGCCAAGGTGGAAAGAGCTGATGGCTATGAGCCCCCCATCCAGGAGACTGTCTAAAAACATCCAAACAGACTTAATAAAACATGTAAATGACCAACATACTTCACTTTGTTTTAGTCTTTGTGTACCAGTAATCTGCCTTTTCTTTTTTTTTCATTAAATGTGCAAAGGCTGTACAAAGATGACATCATCAAGGTTCAAGGTGACTTTGTCATTCACATCACGTGGTACATGAGATGGAACAAAATTGTGTACTGAAGTTCCCAATTACACCCAAAAATAGCAGTAATATAAAATAATAAAACTAGAAAGATTGAAGATGTATACTAAATATGAATAAGGTGTATTAAACAGCAGCTTGAACATGAGTCTTGTGAGCAGATGGGTGTGAAGCAGCTTAGGGTAAGAAATCAGCACAAAATGTCCAATTAATGTGACTGATTTTATAAGTTTCAGGTTCGGTTCCTCGTTTGTAAACTTGGGACACCAGAAAACTGATCAAGAATGGAATTTGACTTGATTTTGGATAAGTATAGCTAAATGTTTTCAGTGTCTTCCCAACTCGTTTCTGAAAACGTTTTTTTTGTGCGTGCGTTACATTAATGTTTAAGGACTATCGCCAAATCATTTGGTCTAGGTTGTCCTGAGTTAAGCATTTGAGTCATCAGGTTTGTACCTGATGTTTTCCATGGCAGCTATGTGGGTAAGAAAACACATGAACCTGTAACTTGGATTTTTTTTTTTTTTTTAAAGTAATTGCAGACAGTTTACCACGTTTAATTTTGTATTAAGTAGCCCCACCCAAAAACATTTGGTTGTTAACGCTGCAAACCTTGCAGAATGATCTAATTGGGTTAAGCAAAAATTTAATAAGTGATCACTTGGGTAAAACAGTTAAACTACAATGAAGATGTTCAACTAAATTATAAATACTGCAAATATGTTGAGTTACTTTGGTCATTAATAATTTTGAGGGGTGAACCTGAGGCTGGCATTTTTGGGACATTTCACATACAGGTGCTGGTCATAAAATTAGAATATGAAAAAGTTATTTCAGTAATTCCATTCAAAAAGTGAAACTTTTGTATTTTCATTCATTACACACACATTGATATATTTCAAATGTTATTTTAATGTTGATGACTAATGAAAACCCCAAATTCAGTATCAGAAAATTAGAATATTAAGACCAATTTAAAGAAAAGGATTTTTAGAAATGTTTGCTAACTGAGAAGTATGAGCATGAAAAGTATGAGCATGTACAGCATCAATACTTAGTTGGGGCTCCTTTTGCCTGGATTACTGCAGCAATGCAGCGTGGCATGGAGTCTTCAGTCTGTGTCACTGCTCAGGTGTGATGAGAGCCCATGTTGCTCTGATAGTGGCCTTCAGCTCTTCTGAATTGTTGGGTCTGTTGTATCACATCTTCCTCTTCACAATAACCCATATATTTTCTATGGGGTTAAGGTCAGGTGAGTTTGCTGGCCAATTAAGAACAGGGATACCATGGTCCTTAAACCGCTGGTAGCTTTGGCACTGTGTGCAGGTGCCAAGTCCTGTTGGAAAATGAAATTGCATCTCCATAAAGTTGGCCAGCAGCAGGAAGCATGAAGTGCTCTAAAACTTCCTGGTTGATGGCTGCCTTGACCTTGGACCTCAGAAAACACAGCTGACCAATACCAGCAGATGACTCACCCCAAACCATCACTGACTGTGGAAACTGGACCTCAAACGTTGTGGATTCTGTGCCTCTCTTCCTCCAGACTCTGGGACCTTGGTTTCCAAAGGAAATGCAAAATGTACTTTCATCAGAGAACAGAACTTTGGGCCACTCAGCAGCAGTCCAGTCCTTCTCGTCTCGAGAAGCTTCTGACGCTGTCTCTTGTTCAAGAGTGGCTTGACACAAGGAATGTGACAGCTGAAACCTGTGTCTTGCATACATCTGTGCGTGGTGGTTCTTGAGGCACAGACTTCAGCTGCAGTCCACTCTTTGTGAATCTCCCCCACATTTTGGAATAGGTTTTGTTTCACAATCCTCTCCAGGGTGCAGTTATCCCTATTGCTTGTACACTTTTTTTTTTTCTACCACTCTTTTCCTTCCTTTTGCCTCTCTATTAATGTGCTTGGACACAGAGCTCTGTGAACAGCCATCCTCTTTAGCAATGACCTTTTGTGTCAATGGTTGTCTTTTGGACAATTGTCAGTCCGCAGTCTTCCCCATGATTGTGTAGCCTACAGAACTAGACTGAGACCATTTAAAGGCCTTTGCAGGTGTTTTGAGTTAATTAGCTGATTAGAGTGTTATACTAGGTGTCTTCAATATTGAACCTTGTCACAATATTCTAATTTTCTGAGATACTGAACTTGGGGTTTTCATTAGTCAGTTATAATCATCAACATTAAAAGAAATAAATATTTGAAATATATCAGTCTGTGTGTAGTAAATTAATGTAATATACAAGTTTCACTTTTTGAATGGAATTACTGAAACAAATCAACGTTTTCATGATATTCTAATTTTATGAGCAGCATATGTACTTTTGGTAAATGTGAATGAAATCTATTGAGGGTATGGAGGAAAATGATTAACCATTAGGTGGTGGGAATGCCCATTGAAATCACAAGTGAACAATAGTGTCAAACATCTTTATTATTTATAACAAACTGATAAACTAAAACTTCAGAAAAGTGGCACCAATACTGTATTATTTTTTAAGGTGGTCAAACTTTACCACCCTAAAATACATCAAATTTTACTTTTCTTCCAAATGTCTTTGTTGCAGTGAGCAACAGCGTCACACATCATGTTAAATTACAGAACTAGCACGTAGTTTTTAGGAACCAGGGCTCGGATCCCCCCCAATTCCCCCAGAAACCATTCATCATCAATAGACTCCAGATTGGTTATAATATCTCCAACCTGTCAAGAAGAGAATCAGAATATTCGTTTGGTTCTTTGATGGCTCAGTTTGATATTTCTGTTGTTGAAATAGATTTTTTTGTATACCTGGAAAGAGAGTTCCTCGTCACAATTTGATTGAAAGCTATACAGTGCCCTGGCTTTTCCACCAACAGAAGCTCCCATCTGCTGGTTAGTCATCTGTCCTGCTGAAGACAATAGTAAAACTGGTTATGCCTTTTATACTACAGAAATTACACTTACTGCAAAAATACAGTGTGAATGCTTATTGCTGAAGCAGTCACAGAAAAATGGATGGAATTTGCTAAAAACATGCTGAATTGTAGCTGAAATGGAAGAACAAGTCTAAATTAGCAGAAGAAAGCAGAAATAACACATTGCTGAATTAGGTTTAAATAAGTAGAAATTAGCACAAAAAATAAGACATTAGATTAAAAAATGGATGAAATGTCAGAAAAAAGATTAAACAACCAGAAGAAAGCAGAAACAGCTGGAATGAGCTTAAAAATGTGGAATTAGCTGAAAAAGCTCAATAACACAAAACCGCAGAATAGTAGCTGAAATATCAGAAAATGCTGAAACTAGCAGAAAAAAATCTGAAATTTTCATAACAAGCTGAAATTAGCAGAAACAAGCTAAGTAGGCTGAAAGTAGAAGAACTTACCCCAAAAAAAGTGAACCTATCTGAAAACAGCTGAAATTATCTAAAAAAAATGTAGCTGAAAAGGTAGAACAAGTTTCTATTCAATTCAGTTTATAGAGCCATATCGCAACAGTGTGAATGCTTCATTAACAGTCACACTATTAGCATCCTGATTCATGCTCAATAATCCAGGTAGAAAAATCTAACAAAGTTAAGTTAGGTCCTCTGGACAGTTTCTTTTTGTTGAAACGTTTCGTCTTTCATCCAAAGGACTTCATCAGTCCGAGGAGCCACAACAAACTCATTATTATAAAGAGCACTTTCACATGATGGGTCAACCAGTTGACCCACTTCTTACCCAACCAGTAAGAAAACATCCAGAGGTCCTGATTTAACTTTGTTAAGGCTTTCTTAAGGCTGGCCACTCATATCATCACAGTCCCTGTGACCCACATCTTCAATCTCTCCATAAGCCAAAACTCCATCCCAGACGCTTGGAAAACAGCCTTTGTTCTTCCTTTGCTGAAGGGAGGTGATCTCACCTCACTGAACAACTATCGACCAATCTTTAAACTCTGCATTTTAGCCAAGGTTCTAGAAAAACTGATAAACTCTCAAATCAAAAATTACCTGGACTCATTTAACATCTTACCTCGCCTTCAATCTGGTTTCAGGAAACAACACAACCATTGCTTCACTGAAGGTTCTTAATGACGTTGTTGAAGCACTGGATGCTAAGGATTATTGTGCCGCACTTTTCTTAGACCTGTCTAAAGCTTTTGACACTGTGGATCAGAACATATTGTGTCATAAACTCTCAGAAATCGGTTTCTCAGAACACACCATTGGTTGGTTCTCTAACTATCTCTCAGATCGGAGGCAATGTGTTCAACATAATGGTACTTCCTCCAGTTATTTAACAGTCAACAATGGTGTACCTCAAGGCTCAGTCTTAGGACCCATCCTCTTTAAAATCTAATACATAATGTAGGTAAAAACCTCCCTAATGCATCCATACATTTCTATGCAGATGACACAGTTGTTTATTGTCGAGCTAAAACAGTTGCTAAGGCTTTCCAGCTTTTGAATTCTGCATTCAGCATCATCCAGACTGATTTATTCCGCCTCAAACTTGTCCTAAATGCCGACAAAACCAAAGGGATTCTTTTTTCAAATAGGAAGTTGGTCCCAGCAGTTCTTCCTCCGATTTTATCTTCAAATGGTGTCCCCATTGAGTTTGTTGATTCCTATAAATATTTGGGTATCTTGGTCGACTCACATCTCTCTTTTAAGCTCCATGTGGAAAACTTGGTAAAGAAACTGAAAGTTAAACTGGGTTTCTTTTTCAGAAACAGATCCTGTCTAACCCTGAATGCTAGAAAACGCCTTGTATCTGTGACTTTCCTTCCCTCCATTGATTACGGTGACATTATTTACATGAACGCTCCTACAAGCACCCTGCAGATGTTGGATGCTGTCTATCATGATGCACTAAGATTCATAACTGGCTGTGATTATCCTACCCACCACTGCACCCTGTATTCACTGGTTAACTGGTCACCATTAACTTCACGCAGACTCTCTCACTGGTACATTTTCATCTTTAATTCACTTCTTGGTCTGCTGCCTTCATACACCTCCTCCTACATGTCTCTGCGTGAGTGCAGCTACAGCGTGCGCTCTCAGGACATTATTACCTGCAGTGTTCCCTCAGTGAGGACTGAACTAGGCAAAAGGGCCTTCTCCTACTCCGCTCCCGTTTCCTGGAATATCTTACAAAAAGATCTGAAGCTCTCGACCTTGACCTCTCTAAGTGGCTTTAAAAATCTGTTGGACTCATGGCAAGGACCGATGCAGACATGTTCCTGTTTTTAGTTTTCTACATTCGCCTTATGGTCTAGCTGTTTTTGTTACTTTTTTGCCATCTTATTTGTAAAAAATAAAAAATAATCTGTATGCCTTCTTATATTTGTCTATTGTTGTCGCTGTTGTCCATTGTTGTCATCTTTCTTTGTTGAAATCAATTCTCTCTTGTATATGAGTCCTCGAGGCTCAATGGGATTTACCTGTCTAAATGAAGGTTGAATGAATGTTGGAATTTTCTACCTGGATTATTGAGCATGAATCAGGATGTTTTGAACCACTTTGGCCATGACTGCCTTAAACAAGTCAGTGGGGAGGGCGTACTCCAGAAACCATCTGAGCACCATCAAACTGGTTGACCCACTATGTGAAGGTGTCATTTGCAAGACTGAGTTTGTTGTGGCTCCTCGGACTGATGACATCTTTTGGATGAAAGACAAAGCATTTCAACAAAAAACGTCCAGAGGGCCTGACTTAACTTTGTTGGACGTTTTAAATAAGCTTTCCTCCATAGAGCAATAGTGGTGAAAGCATGTACATATACGTGGAGCAGTATTATCAGGCAGTTGCCAAAGCATCAGAGGGTCAGTGAGTGAAGATCAGCAGACACGGAGGATACACTAAAATGAATTTGCATCACCAACATTTGACAGAATGGTCATATGGGTTTGTTTGCATGAGACCAAGATCAAGTAGTTAGGACAATCATAAAACCTCATGAACATGACCTTTAAATATTTGTACCTGTGTTGATCTCAATGAAATTCCTGGGGAACATGCCCTCTCTGCCACTGAGCCTACCGGAGCTCCACTCCTCATTTAAATGCTTGGTGACCAGGATTCTGTCACCCTGCTGAAAGGAAAGTTCGTCATCTGACTTTGCGGCGTAATCGTACAGAGCCACTGCCCATTCCACCTTGGACTCAGGAACCTGCAGAGAGAACGTGAGCAAAATGATGTTGTATAGGAGAACATATAAAAAAGTGAAATTAATCTCCAAGCAATACAAAATGTACTGTCTCAACTATGTGACCAGCATCATTTTGGTGTTTCTGCCTCCATAAATATTGGTTACCTGAGCAAATTTAGCAGTCCCAGAAGCAGCCATGCCTGTGAAAATATCAGTGGAAGAATAAAATTTAAAAAGGCCAAGTGAATAGACAGGTGCATTTTGTAGCAGTTATCAGAATACTGATGAGTTGTGAGTGTTGAAGCACTTTTTGTTTGGATCAAATTTAGAGGAGTTGCAAGAGTTCATGACCTGCTATGCATTTATGAGCTCCTCCCTCTTGATGGGACTTTAGTAAACAGATTTTTAATGAAATAGAAACAGAGGGACAAATTCCCAACAGGGCTTGTTGGCAAAATGGGATGAAAAAAAAAACTGAATAAAGCTACTTGTTGAACACTGGCTGTTTTATCAAGCTCAATACCAGGATCAATGTTCACATTTTGTTCGTACCTAAGTGACAGGAGTTTCTTTGTTAAGGTTGGAAATAGTGTAACCACGTCAGTGCCTCTTTTCAGTGGGGTCCCACAGGGCTCGATTCTTGGACCACTTTTCTTTTCACTCTATCTGCTGCCTTTGGGATCTATCTTGAGGAAACATGGCATTTCATTTCATTGTTATGCTGATGATTGTCAGATTTATCTGCCCATCCATCCATTTTCTGCTTGATTCAAAGTCGGCTCGCGGGGAGATCAGCTTGAGCAGGGAGGCCCAGCCATCTTTTTCCACAGCCACCTCTTTGAGCTTGTCTGGGGGGACCCCAAGACGTTCCCAGGCCAACTAAGAGACATAGTCTCCAGCGTGTCCTGGGTCTTCCCCGGGGCCTCCTCCCAGTTGGACATGCGCGAAGCACCTCCCTAGGTAGGCGCCCAGGGGGCATCCTTACCAGATGCCTGAACAACCTCAACTGGCTCCTCTTGATGTGGAGGAGCAACGGTTGTACTCCGAGACTCTCCTGGATAACTGAACTTCTCACCCTATCTCTAAGGGAGAGTCCCTCTACCCTGCAGAGGAAACTCATTTCAACCGACAATCCGCGATCTCATTCTTTCGGTCACTACCCAGAGCTCGTGACTATAGGTGAAGGTAGGAACGTAGACTGACCGGTAAGCAGAGAGCTTTGCCTTACAGTTCAGCTCCCTCTTCACCACAACAAACCGGTACAGAGTCCGCAATACTGCAGATGCTGCACCAATCCATCAATCAATCTCACGCTCCATTCTTCCCTTACTCGTGAACAAAACCCCGAGATACTTGAACTCCTCCTAAACTTCCTTTTATTTTCACTCTGCTGCCTTTGGGATCTATCCTGAGGAACATGGCCTTTCATTTCATTGTTATGCTAATTGTCAGATTTATCTGTCCTTGAAACCTAATAGTTCTTGTTCCATTCGCCCTAGCTGTTAAAATGTCTTGATTACATTAAGGCATGGATGGATTCAAATTTTTTAAGTTTAAATGATCAGACAACTGAAGTGATTGTGTTTAGCTCTTGCACTACTGCTGTCACTGATCCTGTAAATCTTGACTCTCTTTAGCCATATTTTAAGCAGTCTGTTACGAATCCAGGGATGGTTTTAGACTCTGACTTTAAGTTTAATAAACAGATTAACTCTATTCTACAAAAAAAAAGCTTCTTCCAATTAAGGCAGATAGCTAAGCTTAAGTCTGTGTGTTGACCAGATCAGACCTTGAAAAAATAGTCCATGCATTCGTAACAACCCGGCTGGACTACTTATGTTGGGGTCAGTCAGTTCTCCCTTTCACCCAGCTCGTCCAAAATGCTGCATCTCGGCTGTTAACAGGAACTCATAGGTTTGAGCACATTTCACCAGTTTTGTCCTCCCTTCACTGGCTCCCTGTACATATCAGAATTGATTTTAAAATTATCCTGTTGACCTTTAAATGCCTAAATGGCCTCGCACTCTTCTATCTCTTTGAACTACTTCAACCTTATGTTCCTTCTCGGGCAATGAGATCATCTAATCAGCTGCTATCAAAATCCAGGTTGAAGCTCAGAGGAGATTGGTTTTGTTTCAGTCATTGGTCCTAAACTTTGGACCAATCTGCCCCCCAACATTAGATAGGCCACTTCACTCCCTGCTTTTTAATTTCTACTTAAAATGCACCTGTGTTCACAATGTATAACATAGTGTGAATTGATTTACTATTTCATTGTTCCTCATTGTTTTAGTGTTTTTATGTTTTTGTTTTTGATGCTTTTAATGACATCTTTATAATTGGATTCATGATAGCAGGATTTCTGCTTTTTGGCATTGGCAGGTCCCCATGTTATCAACTGTTGAAGACGACATCGGCAGCAGTTTTGGCCATGGCAAAACTTTTGAGTCTGGTTTGGTTTGTGCTACGAGTACTCAGCTGATTTATGAGCTAAACCGTAAGATGGAAGGGTTTCGTGAGAATCACGTGCCAACTGCGGCTTCTAGGACTCGCCAGCATGTTGTAGTCGACCTTGAAGAAGACTCATAGCATGGATCAGTGGAGTGGAATGCCCATAAATCTGGCCATTTTGGATCTGGAAAGTACCAGCAGGACTCAAGGCTGACAAGAAAAAAACGTCTGCCTGAAGACAGTCAACAATTGTGGCTTATCTGAATCTGACTCCCCTGTTTGGCCACGGATATGGGCCGACTATCAAATTTCTCCTGGGACATGTGTAAGCTAAGGAAAAAGCTTTGTCTATCTCCCCTCCCTCCCCCCCAAGAGCTTCTGTGCAGGCTTGTCAGAACTGCCGGATGAACAACAACTTTATCAGGACTATGGCCAATCTTTATAAATGTGCTTGCTGGTAGAGTTTTTAGATGTCTCAAATCGTGTCCTGATAGGACAAGATGTGAAGAGATCTTTTTTTTAATACCACTATCCATCCTCATGGCCTTTTACCTTTTTCTATCTAAAAAGTATTCTGATAAAGACTGAGGCTGTGCTCTTGTAGCAGTAGCAATGTGCACTCCGCCCATATTTCGGAAGACTGTACGAACATAATCTCACTGTATCCCGGCACAATGATAATAAAGCTTATTCTGATTCGGGTTCTTTACTGCCTTGACCTTATTGTTGAGCACTTTGGTAACAGCTGCTGTTTTAAATATGCTTTATAGATAAATTTGACTTGACTTTAGTAAAATGAATTGTTTCAATGTACCATAAAATAAAAGAAAATCACAAATAAAATGGAGGTGTGTTGTCAAATCTTCCTACCAGGCAGTTCCACCCTGCCAGGCTGATGCTGCCTGAGAGGTGGAGGCAGATCTTCTATGATGTACACAAAGTCCAGGGGGAAAATTCCGACGGAGACGCCGATCTGTCCCCGAGCCCAGTCCTTCCCCACATATTCCTTCAGCTGGATTATGTCTCCCTTGAAAAACGACAACTCATCGCTGTGTTCCCCCACAAAGTCACAACTTGCCTCACATCTTGGACCACTATAATGGATATTTCAAAGAGCAGATCAGGGTTGTTGAATACAGCTAATTCAACATCTTTTGAAATTTGTAGTAAAACAGTACCTGACAGGTGCAGATTTTGGCTTTGGCTTCTTTTCATGGAGCCATTTCGGTGAATTTAACTAATTAGAAACAAGAAAATGTCCAGCTTTTTACATGCATTGATTTTCACTTACAATTGACAGTGTTTCCGAGAAACAGATGAGTAATTTCCTGAAACTTACCAACACTTTGACATAATTAATGGGAAAGTAACCAGTTGATCCATTCAAGGTACCTCGATACCAATGGTTGTCCACCTGCTCCACCTCTGTCACAACATCTCCTTCTCTAAGAGCCAGCTCTTCTGGACTCCCTGAGTAAAACCAAATACAGTATATCTCAAATGAAAAAAAAAACAACTAACTTTTCAAATAGAACTAACATATTTTCATATAATTATTTTCTGAATGCAATTTGAAGGAAACAGATTCATTACCTGGAAGGAAGTCATACAAAGCTTCTACTTTTAGTCCATAATTGTCTCTACCAGAGGCAGTTGCACCAGTTTCCTGCAGAGAAAAGAGAGGTTTATATACTGTAGCTCATGTTTGTCAGAGCTCTCTGAGCACAGATCTAAACACACCTGGTGGGAGGACCAAGCTGAGTCAAGGGGAGTTATGACATTCATCCGAGACTTGTGCACTCTCCCTCTGACCTCTCCAATTTGGCACTCAAACTCATTGCTATTAGTCTCTTCCAGTAGCAGAAGAATTTCATTTTGCTGTTGCAAAGACAAACAAAAACATTAAGTTTAGCTGTTTAGGAGCAAAAGAAGATGTGCTACGCTGTGAGGTTTGTTTAAGTCACCTGGATTGAAAGCTCCCCACAATCGCTACCATCAAAGTCATAGATTGCAATCCCATGAGGAAGTGGAAGCTGGGAAAAGAAAAGGAAGTGTAAACAGGTACTCAAGAAGGCTTTTAAGAAATACAACTCGTGTGCTTCTTACAGTGTATTTGTTGTAAAGCCGGTGGCCTGGACAAGGTCTTGGAGGAAAGATGAGCCCCTTTTTAAGGGGCATCTGTGGAAGATTTTTAGGTGAAGGTTGTAGTGGAGCTGACTGGGATCGACCTGCTGTCTGAAGGTTCGGGGGACGAAGCTTTTCTGGGCCTGTTTTGGCTGGAGGAGGGCGAGGTGGGAGAGATTTCTTCATACTGGGATTCCTGCAGTAAGAACCCGTAAAATAAATCAATAGAGTTAGATACAATCTTTAGAACATCTGCATGATGTAATGGTTGAATTTTACTGACTGATTCTTTCCTCACCGTGGTGGGAGTGATGGCTGGGGGCCAATACTAAAAGTGTTCTGAAAAAAAAAAGTGAATTTTTTTTTAAACACATAAAGGGAACATGTTGCAAGAAGGTGTAGTACTGGAATTAATGTAACCGATTCTCAAAGAATTCATGGGACTACAACAAGTCCTTTGTTTGTGGAAAGAAGAGAAGGTGCAGCAGGTGAGCTTCTCAAGGTACAGAACTAACCTAATGAAGACTTTTATATATCAGTTACACAATGTTACGAGTCATATACTGTTTTTTATATAT